TTTCACTAGAGTTATGTCTCAGGGAGGAGGGAGGCCTTAGGAGAAGGTAAGAGACAAGGCAATGACCAGTTAGTGGGGCAGTCAAAACATACACGATTTACCAACTAAGTTCACTGTCTTCTGTGGGCAAGGCTCCTGGGGCCTCAAAACCGTTACAACAGTTATAGCAAAAGCACTGCCCACCCTTACACAATCATGACAAAAGTGTGAAATACTGTGAGAATGACCAAACTGTAACAGACAGGAAGTGAGCCTGTGCTGTTGGAAAATGGCACCAACAGATCTGCTGGGCCAGGGCTGGGCTGCCACAGACACTCATTCGTAAAAACATCAATCTATGGAGTGCAATCAAACAAGGTGCAAGAAACAGCCACCAACAGCTGGATTCCCGAACACAGTGAAACTTTCAAAGTAAGCCTTTTTATTTCCAAGAACAACACACACTACAACTTTGTATTCCTGCTACATGAAGTATCTAAAATTGCTTTTCATATAAATCAGTACACATTAGGTCACTGACAGTGAAATAATAACAGCCACACAGTTATGCCAACTAAGTAGTATCATGGTAAAACTCCTGCTATAACAGAGAGATGCCAAAACACACAGTGAAAAGAAATCAGACACATCAAAAGGAAAAGGCAACCAGTCCTTCTAAACACGTACGATCAAAGCCTTCAGCAGCTCACAGCACGGAGCTCCATCCCCATCCAGCAAAGATGACGACCACACATTTCTGGAGACCATTTGGCTATGGTTTTCTTTCTTACAGTGAAGCACTGGAACTCAAACTCCAGTCTTTCAAAAGGCACAGAATTCAAGGCAAAGTACAGGGATTACAGTGAGAAAAAAAAAAAATGAAAAAGAAGAAAAATCTCTCCTAGAAACTGGATCACAAAACAGGGCCAGCTACCCTTAAGCCTTTAGAACTACTTCTTGCCTTGAGAAAACCCAATATACAGCAATTCATAGTAACTAGACAGTTAAGTGAATTATAAAAGACATTAGATTTTAATACACTGTACTAAATAATTGATGCTGGATTCCTACAAATGAAAATACGCCCTAAGATATAACTTTGGAAAGCACATTCCACATCATGTTAATACAAATTATGCGAGAAATGGTATTTTTAGTCACATATGTTGAAGAAATACTGCCTCTGTTTAAGCGATGATCACTAAAAACACCCTGCATACAACTTTTCAGGGCTACATCACAAGAACAGCACACCTCATAAGACCTGCATGTCTGAGTGCTGCTTTCAATGCTCAGGAAAATAACTGGTGAAAAGGACTCAGGATCACCCTGGAAAACCGGCAGAGCGACTTCCTAGATGAGGAGGCAGTCCTGCAGGCCCACGCCGGGCTGCGGGAGAACATTCCCACTTGTCAGGGTGGCAGACACTGCGCTTGGTCCCAGGCCCCTCGGGTCTGGGCACTAACATGCTGGACACACATTGGAAGCTCACAGATGTCCTTAGCGATGCCGTGACTGCTGCAGAGAAGCCCCCCAAGCAGAGGGTCCCTCAGAATGACATGGTGGCAGGGAAGGCAGGAGACCCAGGATGTGCTCTTACAAATCACATTCAGAATGTCCCAGACTAGTACAGAACACACACACACAACCTGGCCATTCCTCTGCTCTTAATCAGGAATTAAACCCGCACCCTGGACTTAATCCAGGTGTGCTATGATGCGGATGCACACCTCTACACATCTGTAAGGATCACACACTCTGAAGGTTTGATTTGTCATATGGGCTCGAACCTACAAAATCCATGCCAGGCAAGCATTATTGACTAAGAAGACTCCTCAGATAAAACACTTTTGTAAAATGTCTCATTTCCTGCTTTTCTCATGATAAGGCATGTCTAGAGGCTTACGGCTGATCTGATGTCAGGAAGGAAGGGTTTCTGTTCCATAAAGGCGTCCATGGCTCCACCTGCTGACCAAGCCCTCAGCCTTCATGAGCACAGCTGAGGAAGCGCCAGGCCAGTGAGGGGAAGCTGGATGCCCAGGAGCCCAGCAGACCCCCCAGACATAGCAATAAAATTAGCACGAAAGAGAGATCTTTTCAAAACTAATTTCTGGATGTACACATCAACAAAATATGCTAGAGTTCATGATCATTTGAGTAAAAAGAGAAAGCATAAAGGATCTGAGTAAGCCTAGCCCGGGCAGGTCTGGTCCATTTTCACCTCAGTGCCCACTCCCAATTCTCAAAGCTCTGACAGATTTTTGTGCTCCATACAGGTGACCAGAGTCAATGTAGTGAGCACTGCTGGGTCCTCTCAGCATGGGGCAGGGAGCTATGCCAGGATGGCAGCACTCAGGGCCCTGCAGGTCCCAGGGGGTGGGGGCGGCGCACTCAGCAGCCAAAACCAAACCACCACAGGATCACAACCACCAACACCAACAAAGTGCTGTGTCCAGACCAACAAAACCACCACAGGATCACAACCGCCAACTAAGTGCACGCGTCTACACTAAGCAAACCACCACAGGATCACAATCACCAACACCAACAAAGTGCTGTGTCCAGACCAACAAAACCACCACAGGATCACAACCGCCAACTAAGTACACGCGTCTACACTAAGCAAACCACCACAAGATCACAACCACCAACACCAACAAAGTGCACACCTCTACAGTAACAAACCACCACAGGATCACAACCACCAACACCAACAAAGTACACCCGTCTATACTAACAAAACACCCCAGGGATCATAACCACCAACATAAAGAAACTGCTGCATCTACACTAACAAAACCACTGCAGGGATCCACCAACACCAAGAAAGTACAGGTGTCTATGCTAGCTAACACACAGAACACAGTGCCAACCAAACAGTATAGACAGAATTACAAGGATCCCCTTCTGCAGGACTCAACATAACGAGCTGAGGCCCTGGGCCAAGGCAAGGTCACTAAGGAAGTCAGCATGTGCAGAATAGTGTCACTTCACTATTTGAAACAGGAGAGCACCTCTGACAGGCAGATCTGTGGACACCATCTTAACCACAAGAGCGCCTCAGCACACCAATAGCGCAGCAGAGAGGCACCATCAGCAACAAAAGAAAGTATGAGAAAAATGCAGAACGAGGGATATACAAAAGAGCGGGCTTGGATTCTTCACCAAAAAACTCAATGTACTAAAAAGTAAGAAAAAATGGAGGAAAGACCATTCTAGATTAAAAGAAACCAAAGCATATAATATCTAAATGTGATGAGAGAATCCTGATAAAATCCTAGATCTGAAAAAAGTATCAAAGACGTTTTGGAGAGAAATGAGTAAATTTAAACATGGGCCAGATAAAGGATGCTATAGAGTTTTTGCTAATTTTCTTATTTGGACAATGGTACTGTATCAGGAGAACATCCTTTTTCTTAGGAAATGCATGCCGAAGTTTTCCTTTTAAAGGGCTCAGCCAAAGAAAATACAAGCATGTTTTACAGAGAGAGGTGCGCACACGTATGTAAAGAGACAGCAGTGCTGCCATACAACAGGTGAGCCTAGGTGGATTGTTAGTGGGTGTGTATGTTAGAGACAGATGTGTACTAGGTGGAGGGTTAGTGGGAGTGTGTGTTACAGAGAGGTGTGTACATGCATGTAAAGAGACAGCCGTGTGGCAATACAACAGGCAGGCCTAGGTAGAGGGTTAGTGGGTACACTGTACCACTCTGTTGGTTTTTACGTAGGCTTGAAACTTTTCTAAGCAAAAGCTGAGGAAAGGCCTGCAGGCGCAGGAGTAAAACCATCTTGCTCTGCCCGTCCTCTGGGCCCCAACTGCCCTTCTGATAACTCTCATGCAGAGCAGCAGGGCAGCCATGCGGCCCTCCACCGCACCCTGCAGTGTTGCCAGGAGGCGGATCCAGGACCAGACAGGGCTTTGCCGCTCCACGTCTGGTAGACATCAGGGAGCACCCCATCCAAGCTAGCAGGCGCAGGAAGCAGCACTCCCCCGAGCCGTGACGTCTTCCTCACCTATGAGCTGGCCTGCAGCAGGGCCTGGCACATGGTGGAGCTCATGGGGGCCCAGCTCAGCGCCTGCTGAGCTGGTGCAGCAACAGCACAGTGCTGTGTTCAGCCACTGACTGCAAGTAGGTCTCTATTACTGTGGCTATCGCTGCCTAAGCTGGCAGAATAAACACCAACCTGATATCAGAACGGAGCCGTTTAACGCGTGGGATGCCCCCAGAACAGACCTAGGCTGACAAAAAGATCTCCATGCATGGTCGTGACTGCTGCCTGCCCCTGTTCCAGCCTCAAAATCAAGGTATTAGCTTTCCAATCTCACACTTCTCTTTAAAAACATTGTTCTGGCCAGGAGCAGTGGCTCACACCTGTAGTCCTAGTACTTTGGGAGGCTGAGGGGGCAGATCGCCTGAGGTCAGGAGTTCGAGACCAGCTTGGCCAACATGGTGAAAACCCGTCTCTACTAAAAATACAAAAATGAACCGGGCATGGTGGAGGTGCCTATAATCCCAGCTACTCGGGAGGCTGAGGCAGGAGAATCGCTTGAACCCAGGAGGCAGAGATTGCAGTGAGCTGAAATCAGCCACTGCACTCCAGCCTGGGTAACAGAGTGAGACTCCAGCTCAAAATATAAATAACTAAATTAAAATTTTAAAAAATAAAAAAAGTCCTATTTTCCTTTCCAACATCTTACTAACATTTTGAACATTAAATCTAAAACTTAGTAACTAACGTTAAACAGATGAAACCAAATTTCATATTTAGAGTAGGCAAATACACAAATGTTCATTTATAAACCACTCCTGAATGCGCTTATCCAGAGGCTGGAGTGTGGAGCAGCAGTGGTGAGAAGTCTGGGGGCTTGGAGGAGCGAGGAGCAGCCAGGACAGACCCCACAAGCACGGCTGGCAGGAGACTGACCAGTGGGCCACATGGGGCATGATGGGGGAATGGGGAGCGGAGGTTGAAAGAGAAGAACCAGGGAACGCTCTAAGTAGACAGCCCCCATGACTGGGCAGACGGTCTCATCATTGACTGAGCAGGGCCAAACTCAGGGAAGGAGGCAGTCATGCAAAGAACTGAAGAGTCCTGTTAAGACTTTACGCTTATGAGTTGCTGGGGGTTTGGATCGAGGGTCTATGTCTGCGAGCACGTCTGTGTGTGTACCTTCTCCCAGAATACACCATGAAGACACACGTGGTAACAAAAACTAAATGGAAAAGATTCAGGAAACGCCCTGTGGGTGGCGGCAGCAGCCCCAGCGGCCCCCATGGTGCCTGGCCGCCCCAGTCCTTAGCCACAGGCTCTGGCAGCCCTGCTCTTCTCCACCCTCTCCGCCCACTGCCCCATTATGTCCTCATTAAACTTCTTGAGAGAACATCGGAGGGTGTCTTCTCTTAATCTCCTAGATCCTTTGATGGAGCTAAATGGTTAGAAAAAGAATAGTAGAGTTTGAAAGACAGTCGTTTTCTGAAAGATACCAGAGTTGGGAACACTGAAAATTAAGGCTGGAATTAAGTTTTCATGTCAATCCACAGAACTTTTTTCATGACTAGAGAGAGATGTTGAAACTACCACAACTCACTCCGTGTGTCCCTGGAAAACATTCACTGAGTGGATGGAAGGGTCCCTGAAATCCCAGAGGCGGAAAGTCGTGTCGCGGGAGGAGGTCACCACGAGCCGCTGGGTGGGGTGTGTGCAGCAGTGCGTCAGCTCCTGGTCATGCCCTGCAACCAAGATGGCAAAACGCACGGTCATTCCCTGCAGGTGCGCTGAGAGCGAAGCTTTTCCACAGCACAACAACCCAAGCAGCCATCTCTCTGAGAAGGTGAACCTGACCTAATGGAATCACGCAGCAGCATGCGGGTCACGGTGGAAACAGCTTTTCCTCAGAAGCTGAAGGCCTTTCAGCCGTCCACATCAAAGGAACAGGGACCTAAGCAGGTGCATAACCCATTTTCTGACCCTAACAGTTAGGTCAGGAGAATTAACAGGCTGAACATGAGAACCCCTTAAATCTTAATTCTTTGCTTCCAGAATATCTTCTAATGACAGAATGCTGTGGGTCCTCAGTCAAATATAATCTTTAAGCTCCTGCAGGAAATGCACTTATAGACAGATTCGCAGAAGCAACTTCAGCAGGCAGAACCCCAAGACAGCCCCAAGCCACCCCGCACCCTACATGCCCGCCTAAACCACCACCCCCATAACCCCGCATATGCCCTAAGTCACCCCTGCCTCATACACGCCTTGCCTAAGTCACCTCCCCAACCACCCCGCACAGACTCTAAGCCACTCTGTCCCGTACCCACCCTGCCTAAAGCCCTTCCCTTCAGAGCCTGCTAATAGGGTGAGATTATCTTTCTGGTAATTATGATACCTTATAAAGCAAAAAGGATTTTGCAGATGTAATTAAGGTCCCTAAATGAGTTGACTTTGAGTTAAAGGGAGATTGTCCTGGGTGGCCTGGCCTAACCCAATGGGCCCTTAGAAAGGGTCCCAGAAGTCGTCGGAGAGTTCAGAGCAGCAGGGGAGGAGCTCCGGCCGAGGAGGAAAGCAGCTGCTCTGTGAGGAAAGGCGGGCCCTGTGCAGGGGCTCCCAGGGCCAGGCACAGCCTCTAGATGCCCAGAGGAGCCCCCGCTGGCAGCCGGTAAGACGGGGCCTCAGGAACCAGTGCAGGAAGGGGCTTCTCTAACGACATCGGAAGAAGACAGCAGCCTCAAGGAGGCCCCGCCCAGGCTGCACCCTGGCTTCGGTCTTCAAGCCCCAGGGAGAAGAGCAGCTGCCACAGACCCAGAATCCCTGACCTGGGAAACCACAAGGCAGTAATTCCTGTCGTTTTAAGACACTAAGTTTGTGGAAATTTGTTACAGAGCAATGGGAAACTAATCAACCACCCTATATCCAATATCTACATACTACATGCTACAGTTTAAATCCCCTGAAGATAAAATACATTTAGCTATCAATAGTTCAATTATTAATACAAAGAATCTCCAATAATTACCACAGAAGAGCCAGAAGGACTGAGACTCATTCTGGTCAAGAAGTAACTGGCAAGGTCAGACATAACACATGGACATAAACTAACGTGCACAGCCAGGAGGCCAAGGACTCAAATAACTCAGGCACCTGTCAGAGAATGAACGAGCTCAGACGTCTCCACATCATACAGGTTTGCTGTCCGGTCCCATGAGGCAGTCACAGCCTGCTTCCCCCCAACCAGCCAGTCTGCAGCGATGACCACGCCTTGGTGGCTCTTGAGGGAAGTCAGCGGGACGCGGATAGTGGGGCAGTCGCTGGACACGTCCCCATCGAGGTCGGGCTCGTCCTTGTCAGAGCACTCTACTTCATCTTCCCCAGATATCTGCTGCCAAAGAGAAGACCAGAAAAGAAAGACACTTCATGGGAATCTTGAGTTTCTTCCAACACAGCAACAAAACAGACTGCTCTCATTCATCTCCTGAGGACGTACCCATCACGACAGCCACTGCCAGGAGCCCGGTGCTGGCCATTGTGATGAGTGTGTCCTCCTCTGACCCATAACTGCTGCCCGCTGAAAACCCATCAACTCTGTGACTATCGCATACAAAAAAAAAAAGTGGAATGTACCATGCTGTCAACTGAACTACCATTTCTTTCCACTAACCAACAAAATGGCAAATAAAGTGACTTCAACACTTAAGTTTTCACCACTTATGAGTAGACATGCAATATAAAACTAAACAAATACAAATGAAAGTCAGTAATTTATCATACTACAAAAAAGAAGCACATTCATGCTCAAGAGCCTATTTAAAATATACTTAGAATTCCATTGCTACAATTATTAGAGTCTACTTTCCTTTGTAACATCAAGTCTCCTGTCAAAGGCCAAGGATAAATAAACACATTAGAACCAGCTCTGTAAGAAAATCTGTATATCCATCCAACAAATATTTATCAGGGGCTGACAGGGTGCCAGCCCTCACGCCCAGAGCCCAGGTGCTGCTTACACAGTGCAGAAGAGGACAGGCGGCTTCTGACATGCACACATGCAAAACTACGCTCCAACTAGCAGGTAAGAACTCCGGAGTGAAGACCACTGGCAAAGCCCCTGTCCTCAGAGAACTTACGTTCTGGCATAAGAGAGAGACCAACCCCCCCCCCCGCCCCACACACACACACACACACACGTGCTAATATGGGGACATATGTCATATGTACACAAGCTGGAGCTGATAGTTTGGAAATCTGTCCTGGCCCAAATCTCAGGCTGAACTGGAATCTCCTGTGTTGGAGGTAAGGCCTGGTGGGGGTGTCTGGCTCATGGGGGAGGATTCCTCCAAGCCTGGGGCAGGCCTCAGAACAGTGAGTGAGCTCTCACGAGATCTGGCTGTTTGGATGTGTGGCACCCCTGCCTTGCTCCTGCTTCCACCGTGGGACACACCCCTTGTTTCATCTTCTGCTGTGACTGAAAGCTCCAAGTTCCCTGAGACCTCCCCAGAAGCCAAGCAGATGCTGGCGCCACACTTCCTGTACAGCCTGCAGAACCAGCCAATTAAACCTCTTCAATTCTTTATAAATTACCCAGTCTCAGGTACTTTTTTATAGCAATGCAAGAATGGCCTAACACACCAATGTCATGAGCAAACACACATTACTCAGGAACACACGTCACAGGGACACAGAGCAGGACGAGAACACATGTCACAGAGACACACGGCAGGACGAGAACACATGTCACAGGGACACACGGCAGGATGGGAACACACGTCACAGGGAACAGAGCAGGACGGGAACACACGTCACAGGGACACAGAGCAGGACGGGAACACACGTCACAGAGACACAGAGCAGGACGGGAACACACGCCACAGGGACACAGAGCAGGACGGGAACACACGTCACAGGGACACAGAGCAGGACGGGAACACACGGCACAGGGACACAGAGCAGGACGGGAACACACGTCACAGGGACACAGAGCAGGGCGGGAACACACGACACAGGGACACAGAGCAGGGCGGGAACACACGACACAGGGACACAGAGCAGGACGGGAACACACGTCACAGGGACACAGAGCAGGACGGGAACACACGTCACAGGGACACAGAGCAGGACGGGAACACACGACACAGAGACACAGAGCAGGACGGGAACACACGTCACAGGGACACAGAGCAGGACGGGAACACACGTCACAGAGACACAGAGCAGGACGGGAACACACGTCACAGGGACACAGAGCAGGACGGGAACACTCGTCACAGGGACACAGAGCAGGACGGGAACACACATCACAGGGAAGCACGGCAGGACAGGAACACACGTCACATAAACACACACACAGTAAGGTGGCAGTAAGTTCTGTGGAGTAAAATAAAACAGGACAAGGGGCAGCTTGGTCGGGGGCTGCTATTTTCCATGGAATGGCTGAGGAGGGCTCTGTGATGAGGTCACGCTTGAGTCAGGCATGAAGAAAGGAAGGTTAAGGCCCGCCTGTGCTGAGGAGCAGCTACAGGAGGCAAAGTCTGAGGCCGCATCAGGAACAGCTCGTGTCATCCCAGGAGACTGTGGAAAGGACGCTGGCTTTCATTCCATGTGTGATGCCAAATCACCAGGCGGCTGTGTGTGGGACGTGGTGCCTGGCGTGTGCTGCGTGAACAAGGGGCTGCTATGGACCCACATTCCTGCGCTCAAGAACTCACCCAGGACCTCAGAATGTGGCTGTTTAGAGAAAGGGACTTCAAAGAGCTGATTAAGGTAAGATGGGGCCAGGAGAGTGGACCCTAATCCAACAGGCCTGACGTCCTCCTAAGAAGGGATAAGGACACAGACACTCCCAGATGGATGAAGAACCCAGGGTGAAGACGCCATCTCCGAGCCATGGAGAGGCCTCAGCAGGAACTGGCCCTGCTCACATCCTGGTCTCGGCTCCAGCCTCTGGGACTGCAGGAACACAGGCCTGTTGTTTAGAAGCCACCCAGGCTGTGGCACTTTGTTACGACAGCCCCAGACAACAACGTGGGGAGATGAACAGAGATGAGAGAAGCGCTGGTGAGAGAGAGCGGCCTGGAGCAGGGTAGGAAGAGAGAACTGAAACCCCCTCTGCTTCAGGAGCTGCTGACACGCTGATTTCTACATGCAGTAAGAGAACAATACAGACCATGTAAAGGTGTTTGGTCCAAAGCACCGGGTGACAGATGGTGATGTTTCCAGAGGGGGTGGCACAAAGAAACCAGACAGCAAGCTCAGGGCGGCATGCGCAGCTCAGTCGGGACAGGGGGTCAGGGACACGAAGGGCGTGAGGCTCACAGGCTGGCAGAGGGCCCCCAGACAGGCTGCAGCAGGAGGAAGTGACTCGGATGCCACCTTGAAGGCAGGAGGTGACAGGTGACAGCACTGCCCATGGCTGGGAAAATGGCTCCAAAGGGAGCTCAGCAAAGAGCCAGGGGCAGCGACGGGGCAAACTCCTTCAGAGGAGAAAAAGAAGCCCAATGAAGTTAAACTAATAACTCGGCGTGACCTCACTTGGGTGCGACAGTCGTTCTGCTGGTAACATAAATCTGTTTCCACTATGCCACCCAAACACTTCCTCATCAACATTGTAGATGTCAAGCAAAACTCACAGATGGAAATTTTAAAAAACAAGATGTCTGTCCAAAAGCTATGATGATTCAAGATGAACACAGATTTCAACAGATTACAGTTTGTGTTGAAATTTAAAATTAGAACTGCTAAGCAAATCAGAGTCAAGACTGGCCGGCAAAAGCTTCAGAAAACAAGGCGGCTTTCCACCTAAGGAGGCTCATTTCATCCAGCAATGCTGGAAGGAGCCTACCATGCTGTTTATGCAGGGACTTGGGCATCCACAGGCTCTGGCATCTGTGGGCACACGGTCCTGGAACCAATCCCCCGCCGACACCTGTTTACGCAGGGACCTGGGCGTCCATGGGCTCTGGCATCTGCGGGTCCTGGAATGGCTCCCCTGCCGACACCAGGAGGCAGATGTATTATCTACTCTTCATTAGGGAGGGCCTGACACAACTGTGTCTGCTCGGGACAGCTCAAGTCATGGCACGCCACAGAGGTTCATCTTTAACTTAGACCCCCCCAACACCAGCCCCAAATCTTGAGGTGGCAACTAGCAACATGAGATGTGCACTCACCCAACACAAGCAAAGTAGTAAAGAAGAAAATAAAATTGGGTGAACATTCTAAGTAAACTATTAGGTGTTTTTAATGTAAGTACTGTACATGAATCTTCCCTCTGAGAAAACCAGTATTTTTCTTATTTTATGTGGAAAACAATCCATACATTAAGTCCTCTGAATTTCCCGAGCATCAGTGCTCACCCTCCTCACCTTTCCACCGCACCTACCATCAATGCACATTTCACTGGTTTCATCATCAAATGTGCGTATTAATGGACAGCGTTCTGCACTACAGAATTAATAGTCTGGTAATTCCACGAAGAGAACAAAAATGTGTTAAAATACATAATACATCCAGTTAAAAATGAACCATTAGGACCTCTCAACTAAAGAAAACTCATTTATCACTGGAATTCATTAACTGCTAACTATCTCCACATGCAACAGTGTTTAGAATTTCACGAAGCAGAAAAGTCAAGGAATATTCCAAGGTGAAAATATCAAAACGAGATTACTCTCGTCCTTGCAACGACCACAGCCCAACGCAAACTGAAACTTCTAGACATGTGCATCATTCACACTGTCTGCCTGGCGCCGTTCCTACCTGCTCAGGCGCACAGGGAGGGCTAAGCATGCGGGAAGACCACGCCACTAACGTTTATCCTGTCACTGAAACTAGGAAGGTAACTGCACTCAGAGGAACATTCAGGCCTCTCTGTGATCATAAACACAGCGGCTGGGCTACAGCAGGCAGTGCAAGGCAAACGGTAAGTGAAGAATTTTACGAATTTATGGGATAAGTACGTGAATTCATTCCTCTCAATAGGCAACATCTTTCATTACCTACGTTTAAATTTGAACCACATAAAAATGATGTCATACGAGCCGTTAATTGGAGTGATGAAAGTCCATGGAAGACACACCAGATGTCTAATATTACACAGATGAAACCATTCATACAAGCCATTAACTGATATGATGAAAGTTCATGGAAGATACCCCAGATGTCTAATATTAAACAGATGAAACAGTAAGAAACAGCATCCAAACATAAAATATAAGAGACTGGATGGTAAATGTTCCCTGTCTGTAGAAAGGAAGGCTGAAGCAGACACGCGCACACACAAGTGAAGGAGCACCTTTCTAGGTGCTGACTCAGTCAGTGCAGGCCGCCAAAATACAAGACTACAGGCCAAGCGGCTTCAACAACAGAAATTAGTTTTTTCCCAGTTCTGGAGACTCCAAGTCCACGACGAAGGTGCCAACCAGTGCAGCTTCTCTTCCAGTGCATGGCACTGCCATCCTGCCATGCACCCACAGGGGCTTTTACTAATATTAGCATGGAGAGAGAGCGACAGGGAGAAGCGGGGAGGAAGGGGGAGAAAAGAGGGAAAGAGAGGGAGAGGCAAGCGCATGTGCAAAGACCACTCATCCTATGGGATCAGGGCAGCCCCTCCACTACCTCATTTTGCTTTAACCACTTCCTCAGAGATCCCATCTCCAAAGACAGCCACACTGGGGGTTAGGGCTTCAACACAAAATTCAAGGGGACAGAGACATTTAGTTGAGAACATCGTGTTCCACCCCCCCTACCAAAATTCACATCCTTCTTGCACAGCAAATGCACTCATCCCATCCCAACAGCCCCAGAAGTCTTATTCCAGCCATCAGCACTGAGGTGTGAGGTATGAAATCCCGAGTGTCAACAAAACATCATCTGAATCAGGAGTGGGTAGGACTCAGGGTGCGACTCGCTCATCCTGAAGCTGAGCTCCCCTCCAGCCATGAACCACTGAACCCGAACAAGTTACGGGTTCCCAAAATACAGCAGTCGGGCATAGGTGGGATAGACACTCCTTCTCGAGAGAGAAAGATAAAAGGGAAAGGGTGGCGGGGCCCAAGCAAGTCCAAAACCCCACAGGGCAAACTCCTCAAGCTCTTCAGGCTCCAGAGCGCCCCTCCTGGGCTGGATGCCACCCTCCAGGCATGCTGGGGTGAGGGCATCACCCCCTTGGCTCTCGGCCTGGCAGCCCCACCCCCACAGCACTGGACCATGGCAGCCAGGCCCTGAAACCATGGAGGCCCCATGCTTTGAAACCAAGGAAGAAACAGGCCCTCATCCTGGGCCTGCGGTGAGAGCTGCAGCCGTGCCGAACTCAGAATCACCTTCGGGGGCGTTCTCCCCTTGTCTTGAAGGGTGCTAAGGTTCTCGGCCAGGCAGCGCTGGTTTCCGTGCTGTGGAATCCCAGCAGTCTGATGCCTTCCTTCATTCTGTCCCCATGGTGTTCCCTCTGGTCCTCTGGGTGTAATCCCATCTCCACTCCTGGTTCCCGCTGTGGCTCCCACCCACACTCACCTCCCTGTCAGCTGGCTGTTCAGACAAACCCTGCATGTTCTCTTCAGAACTGGCTTTCTCATTTTTTTGTAACAGGCACAGGCTGGGAATGTCCCTGATCTCACAAGTTCTCGTCCCCTTTCCCTTAACACCTTCGGTGTGTCTCCATCCTTTCACATTTTACTATATGCGAGGAAAGAAGCCAGGCTGCACCTTTAACATTTCACTCACGAGATCTCGGCCCAGTCAAGTCCTCTGCCATTTTGTAACGAGGATCACTTTCCTCTGGTTCCCGTAACCTGTCCCTCGCCTCCTCTGAGGCCTCACCACAAGGGCCTTCAACATCCACTCTCCACAACATTCTGCCTATGATACCTGCGTTCTCCAGGACGCTAGAAGCTTTCCCTCCAGCTCTCCCCTTTCTTCTCTGAGCCTTCACCGGAGTCATCATTAATGTCCATATTTCTACCAACAAGCCCTTCACAGCCATTGAGGCTTTCTCCAGCAGATACCTGAGAACTCCTGCAGCACCTACCCATTCCCAATTCCAAAGCCACATCCTCATTGTAGGCATTTCTTAAGCAGCCCCCCCACTTTGTGGTACTAAAATCTGTCTTAGTTTGCGCTGGCTGCCGTAACAAAATACCATAGACTGGGTGACTTATAAAAAACAGGAATGTATTTTCTCACAGTTCTGGAGGCTGGAAGTCCAAGATCAAGGTTCCTGCCAATTCAGGTTCTGATGCGGTCTCTCTTTATGGCGTACAGATGGCCGCCCTCTGGCTCTGCCCGTACGTGACACAGACAGTGACAGAGAGACTGAGAACACAGGCGAGCTCTCCATTGTCTCCTCATGGGAGGACACTAATCCCAGTGGACCTCACGCAACCTCACTGAACCTCAACTACCTCCTTAGAGGTCCATCTCCAAAGTCAACCACACTGGGGGTGAAGGCTTCAACACTGAATCTGGGGGGACACAAGCATTCAGCCCATGGCAGATATTATAAACGGATCTCAGGTTCGCAGACATCAGCATCCTACACGCTCGCAGGTAAGGAAAGGTGCTTACACTAGTGTCAGCGACAGGCTGGGGTGTCGGCAGCTGCACCGCGTATCTCCAGATATGAGCAGTCTGATCTCCAGAAGCTGAAGAGAGAAATCGGGGAAAATTACCCAAGGCACAGACCATGGTAAAACGTGCTCTTCACTGCACGCCGGCTGAGCGGCAGCAGTCAGACCTTTCCGGCTTAGTGACCACTTAGTGAAATGAATGTACTTTTCACTTAAATAACTCTTTTCTGAGACTGCATAATGCTATTGAGAACAGAGTATATGTGCAAAACTGATGAGATAATGATGACTTATAAAACTACTTCACTTTTCATTTTAGCATAGAAAGCCCCGGAGGTTCAGAGAAAATGGACCAATAGTAGACTTTATTCTCCCTCTGTCTAACCTAAGAAACCCTATTATACCAGAACCTAGAGCTGTGATCAACTCTGAGATGCAAGGGAAAGAAACGCTCATCTCCATCCATTCAACCCTGAGGCAACCTCTCAATGAGCGGCACCTATCAGCACTCCTCACCTGTGCGGCTCCATCCCGCTCTGTTTTCAGCAGCCAGTTTGTGAGGAAACGCTTTGACTGAGGACTGGAAAGACAAAGGACAGCACTGCAGGCACAGAACACGCCTCCGACACCAGAACGGCCACGTCTCCCCAACACGGGGGCAGGCTGGCTTCCACCTTCTTTTCACTGCACCAAACTTCCCTAAAGGAGCTGCTCTGAGCTGAGGCAGCACATGTTTTATAAATGAAGGTGCTGCCCTGACTTGCAACTGTTCCTCACATCAACATCATGCCCAATCCAGCCTAATTCTCTCTCTGTGCCCATTACCGCGTGCTTCCAAGTCTTCATCAGTTCCTGGATGTGTCTCGTTCCACTCTCTTTCGCAGCCCTTTGGTTTGAATCTGGACACGTCTAACTGCTCCAGTCTCCTTTGTCCCCTTTCCCATCATCCAACAAACCACCAACTTCAGAAGATTCAAACTCCTTGCTTGCTTTAGTCTTCACATACGTATTAGGGTGAAAATTAGCTATGTGGTCTAGACTGCTCAAAATGACTCTCAGTCTAACCCTCCCACATTTCTCTCTGACATAAAAACTCCGACCAAACCGCGTGACTCACTGTATCACACACACTGGAAGTACTTGTCACTGGGGCTCCTTCTTACACAACTTCACCTGCACAAAGTGGCCAGTCATCTCACCCTCAGTGTTCTATCCCTGGTCAGCATAATCTGGCCCGTAGGCAAAACCCAGGCAGCCACCCATTTTTGTGAATAAAGTTGCCAGACACAGCGATGTCCACTCATCAGTGCACCGTCCACTGCTTTTATGCTACAACAGGAGAATTGGAGACAGAGCCTGAATGTCCCACAGAGATGAAAATACTCACTCACTATTCCTTTACGGAAAAAGCGTAGGGACCTCTGGTCTATAGAAAGCCCACACACAGTCTTCCAGATGATCGCCAATGTCCCTGGACTACCACGGGCAACTGTGGTGGTCTAAGAGTCTCACAGGAAAAGCCCTCAGGACTGTAAAGCTATCCTCCAAAAGCAACCAAGGAAGGCATGTTTTTACAACTACTCTATCCAAGCTATCACAGTGTAGGTAAATTATCCAGAAAGAAATAAAAATGCTGACTCACAACTTGCCGTGTTCTCTGCGCTACTTTTCTCCCTTCTCCATATCAGATGCATAGAAGATAAGGGAACGCAACGACAGCCACAGGCCCTCGAGGAGCTGTCTGACTACGGGAACCACAGGTAAACAACAAACACGCTGTACGAAAGATTTCGGGACTACCGTGAATCGTCTTCATCTCACCATCACTCTAACTGCTATCCACCACTGTCTCCAGAAAGCACTGCTCAATGCACTTCCCCGTATCCACGTCTCATTTCATTCATAAAATGTCGACTAAAGATTAACTTTCATAAACGCCATGGATTATTCTGCTACTGATAAGAAAGGAATATTTATAGCTGTTTTAAGACCATCTATCATTTTGTTCAATAAAGAAAAAAATCAACATACCAGTGAGAGCCAACTGCTCTGAGGGATGAAATTTTATAGAATTTACTGCAAAATAAAAATATGATAAAATGTTTAAAGTGACAAAAACATGTTATCAACATTTATTAACTATAGCATGTATTTCAAAGTCAACATTAAAAGAACTATGAGGGTTCAATATTAGATCCTCCACTCAATTAAACTATAAATAAATGTGAGAATTAGAACAGAACCACAATAAACAACAGCTCAGGTATGAACCCCCAAATCGCTACGGTATAGGACCCAGGAAAAGGATATTAACAATCTCTTTCCTTTTATAGACAGGGATATCTTTTCATCTTAAAATAAATCAGAACTTTGAAAAAGAAAATATAACAACAGGTGAAGGCAAATTATAGCGTGGCAGACACAGTTTATAAGCCCCAACGCCCGCCCCACCTTCCTTGCCAGCCTAAGGACCCCAATCTGTTCTGTGACTAGTAGAGACCCCAGGATCCCAGAGAGTATCACCTCTGCCAGCCTCAGGTGATGAATGAGGACTGGGTTACACCAGTTATGATGCCCTCCCGCTCTCCTTACAAAAGGGGTATTTGGCAGAGGTCTCACTCCGGCTGCCCAGGCTGGAGTGCAGTGTGCCATCCAGCCTTGCTGCAGCTTTGACCTTCCAGACTCAGTGATCCTCCCACCTTAGCCTCCCAAGTAGCTGGGAGTACAAGAAGATGCCACCACGCCTGGCTGTTTGCGTTTTTTTTTTTTTGTATTTTTGGTAGAGACAAGGTCTTGCCATGTTGCCCGAGCTGGTTTCAAACTCCTGCCGGCCTCAGCCTCAGCCTCTCAAAGTGTTGGGATTCTAGGTGTATGCTGCCGTGCCCAGCCAGAAGTCTTCTGAGGAAGCTATCATTTTCTTGAAAAAGGAGCATGAGACCCTGGTACTTCACCTTCCCCCTTGCTTCTGTCCTGACTGTAGACGGGATACCTTGGCATGTGGTCAGCAAGACACCAAGCATGCGCACAAACATCAGCACTGAACACAGAGCCCGGCTACACAGGCCTGACCCAGTCTGAAGCCCACCCTACCCACCTGGAATCTTCCAAAGCAAACAACAGTGCTTGGGGCAGGGTGAGCTACCCTCAGTCAGCACTGGTCAGCAGAACAGTGAGCTGACTTGTGTCACTCTGGGGATACCAACCCTTATTTCCACCCCTTGTAAAGAAAATGCATGTCCCTAACACAGAACATATTGGAAATTTTACCAAATCTGAATACGTTATCTCTTAACTAAATGTTAACTATACCATTAGAATTATATTTTTCTAAAGAACTAAATGAAAAATGCTAGAAGATAGTCTCATTATTAATATTAAAATACAGATAACTGTGGGAAAAGCTGGTAGCAACTGTGTACACTTATAAGTAATAAACCTAAGCACTCAATAGACCTAAAACCAAATTATCACTATAACCACTAACAAATAGTACTAAGGCTTCCAACTTCAATGAGAAATTTTGGTAAGATCAGCGATCAATTTTCACTTTATTATGTCTATCCCAACCTTCAGCTAATCACAAATGAAGCTGGGCCACTGTGAGGTGTGGCTGGAAGACACCGCACCAACTGTGGCCGAGGAGGCAGTGGAAGGCGGGCACGTGGTGACGGGAGCTGGGCTGGAAGGCACCGCGCCAACTGTGGCCGAGGAGGCAGTGGAAGGCGGGCACATGGTGACGGGAGCTGGGCTGGAAGGCACTGCGCCAACTGTGGCCGAGAAGGCAGTGGAAGGCGGGCACATGGTGACGGGAGCTGGGCTGGAAGGCACTGCACCAACTGTGGCCGAGGAGGCAGTGGAAGGCGGGCACGTGGTGATGGGAGCTGCGGAGGAAGCTTCTTTGTAGCACTACTCATGCAAGCATAATGATGTGAACAGTGACCACAGATCTTACCAAAATCAGCACAGAATCATGATAGAGGGAGGATGGAAATGGCCTTGAGAGAGCTCAATCACCCCTGGTCACCTTCCACAGTGGACGGTCAACAGACAGCCTGGTCGGGGCAGCACCTTGAGCCATGATTTAAAGGTGCAGCCGCAGAACCCACAGGCACCTGACCCAATCCACAGTGGCCGCGAGAGGAGCAGAAACAGGGATGCCAGCCACAGCTACCCTTCATCAAGTGTCAGAGGTAATATGGCTCTTTCCATCGCATGCACATTTAACTGCCATAAAATTTAAGCTGAAATCTAAAGAGAGAAGAACAAAGGGAACAACCACCTCTGCCACCAGCGTCACCTCTGCCTCTGAGAGGTGCAGACACAGCGACACTGGGACCCTCACACATTTCACCTCCTGGAGGCCAGATGGGGGGGTCTGTCGTTGGGCATTTTGCTCAGAGGACCCAAGAGGAAAGAGGCAGAGTGTAATTTGTGGTCAGACCACCTCCTTGTACAGTTGTACCGATTAAATTCCCACCAGCCTCACCACTCCCTTTAGCTAGGTCAACTGAGAGATCAAAACATCCCCTAGTGGAAAAACGCAAACACAAGTCCTCAGGAGGAAGAAGTGAGACACACGCAACACAACAGCAGGCCAGAAACACATGGATCTTCTCCACTCTCCGACGCCTCTCTAAATGCAGGAGGCGTCCTAGAAGAAACAGGCACAGGCCTACAAAGAACTAAAGAGACGATGAATGAAGAGACAGACACCAAATACTGGAAGCCAGAAAAGCAGATGGTGATGGTGGGTGAGTGGACACGGGAAGGTTAAATTAACCTGCGTGAAGAACGGAAAGCCAACAAAAAAGCCGTGCTCAAGAACATGCAGAGACAACTTCTTGCTGCCACAAGGCAGTCTCTGTCAGATCCACTCAAACTCCCTTACTGGGATTAATTATAAAAGCTGTAGATAAACAGCAAAAAATAAACAAAAGGCTTGACATGATTGTGGAGCCCCCAAGGCACCCAGGCCCAGAGGCCCCAGAGAGAAGCACTGGAAGTCCCATGAGCTGACTCACTCCCTCAAGGCACAGAGACGGGCAGGAGCAAGGGTGCAGTTCAGAAGTGAGGGGCAATGACAGGAGCTGAGGCAGCCACGAAGGGGCGAGAGAGCACTCACAAGCCCCCAGGCACTGACAGCACCTAAATTGGGCATGAGGCCAGACAGCAAGCAGAAAGCCTCTAAGAGTTAAAGCGGAGTGTACCGGCAGATGAAACTAAAGCTGGGGCCTGTGAGGGCACCCCCTTGAAGGACAACTCCCTTAGAACAATGGAAAGAGGCCAGAGGAACAGCAGTGCCCCAAAAGCCTAAAAGCCACCGACCCCCAACTATTCAGTGAATCAAGGCTTGCCGTTCACTCTATCTGCTGGCCAAGGAAAAATTAAATCCTCTCTAGTGAAGAGATGATTCTGCGTCTATGTGTGCGTCTGTGTGTGGATGCAGGCATACCCCGTTTTATTACCCTTCACTTTATTGTGCTTTGTAGGTATTGGATTTTTTACAAATTAAGGGTTTGTGACAAGCCTGCGTCAAACACCTAATTCCCACCATTTTTCCAACAGCACATGTTTACTTCATGTGTCTGTTCCCTTCTTACAGTATTTCAAACTTTTTCTTTTTTTAGTTTCTTTTTGCCAGCACCTTGACCTTGGACTTTTTCATTAATATAATATCTGTTAAGAGTGACCTGCAATCTCTGATGCTACCACTGTCATTTTTGGGGGAGGTACAAACCACACTCACATAAGACCACAAACTTACTCTATAAATGCTGTGGGGGTTCTGACTGCTCCAACAACCAGCCTTTCTCTCATCTCTCTCTGCTCAGGCCTCTCTACTCCCTGAGACAAAACAATACTAAAATTAGGCCAACTAATAACCCTACAATGGCCTCAATGTATTCCAACGAAAGGAAGGGTTGCACACGGCTCCCTTTCAATCCAAAGCTAGAAATGATTATGCTTAGTGAGGAAGACATGTCAAAAGCTGAGACAGGCTGAAAGCTGGGTGTCTTGCACCAAACAGCGAAGTTCTGAATGCAAAAGAAAAGTTCTTGAAGAAGAGTAAAAGTGCTATTCCAGTGAACACACAAACAATAAGAATGTAAAACAGCCTTCATGTTGATGCACAGGAGGCTTGAGCCGTCTGGATTAATTAAACCAGCCACAACATTCCCTTTAGCCAAAGCCTAATGCAGAGCAAGGTCCTGACTCTCTTCAATTCTGTGAGGGCTGAGCGAGGTGAGGGAACTGCGAAGAGAAGCTGGAAGTTGGCAGACAGTTGTTTATGAGGTTTAAGAAGCCATCTCCACAAAATAAAAGTACAAGGTGAAGCAGCAAGTGTTGATGGAGAAGCTGCAGCAAGTTCTCCAGAAGATCCAGCTGAGATCATTAGTGAAGATGGCTACTCTAAACAATGGGTTCTGAATGCAAACAAACAGCCTTATATTGGAAGAATATGCCGTCTAGTACTTCCATAGGTAGAGAGGAGACATCGATGCCTTCAAAACTTCAAGGCACAGGCTGACTTGTTAAGGGCTAATGCGGCTGGTAACTTTCAGTGGAAGTCAATGCTCACTTGCCATTCTAAAAACCCTAGAACCCTTAGGAATTATGCTACAACTCCTCTGCCTATAAATGGAATAAGGCATGGATGACAGCACATCTAATTATAGCATTGTTGACTGAATATTTTAAGCCTACCATTGAGACCTACAACTTTCAAAATATTACTGTTCATTGACAATGCACCTGGTCACCCACGAACTCCGATGAAAATGTACAAGATGAATGCTGATTTCATGCCTGCTGACACAACATCCATTCTGCAGCCCATGGATCAAGGAGTCATTTTGACTTTCAAGTCTTATTATTTAAGAAACACACTTCAAAAGGCCATAGCTGCCATAGACAGTGATTCCTCTGATGGATCTGGGCAAACTCAACTGAAAACCTTCCAGCAACGATTCATCTTTCTAAATGCCAGTAAGAACAATTGTGATTTGTGGCAGAAGGTGAATATATCATTAACAAGAGTTTGGAAGAAGTTGACTTCAACCCTCATGGATAACTTTGAGAGCTGCAACATTTCAGCAGAGAAAGTAACTGCTGACGTGGTAGAAATAGCAAGAGAACTAGAATTAGACGTGGAGCCTGAAGGTGGGACTGAACTGCTGCAATCTCAGATCAAACTTGAATCGATGAGGAGTTGCTTCTTAAGTATGAGCAAAGGAAGTGATCTCTTGAGATGGAATCTACTCCTGGTGAAGATGTTGTGAACGCTGTTGAAATGACAACAAATGGTTTAGAATATTACATAAACTTAACTGATACAGCAGCAGCAAAGTCTGAGAGGACTGGCTCCAATTTTGAAACTGCATAAATGTTATTAAATAGTATCACATGTGATAGAGAAATCTTTTGTGAAAGACTCAGTCAATGCAGCAAACTTCACTGCTGTCTTATTTTAAGAAACTGCCACAGACAACCCAACCTTCAGCAGCTGCCACCCTGATCAGTCAGCAGCCATCAACATCAAGGCAAGACCCTTCACCAGGAAGAAGACTATGACTCACTGAAGACGCTGATGATCATTAGCATTTTTAAGCTATAATTTTTAAAATTAAGGTAGGTACACTGGACCCTTGAGCAACATGGGTTTAAACAACATGGGTCCACTCATTTTTGGATGTTCTTCCACCTCTGCCACTCCTAAGACAGCAAGACTAACTCTTCCTCTTCCTCCTCCTCATCAACCCACTCAATGTGAAGACCAAGAGAATGAAGAACTTATTCCACTTAACACATAATAAATATATTATACATTTTCTCTTCCTTACAATTTTCTAAATAACATATCCCTTTCTCCGGCTTATCATAAAAATGTGACTCTTTATGGTAAGTATGTAATACATAGAACATGAAAATGTGTTAGCTGTTGATGTTATTGGTAAGGCTTGCAGTTAACAGTGGCCTCTCAGTCATTTAGTCTTTGAAGAGTCAAAAGTGATCCACAAATTTCAACTGCAGGGCAGCAGGGTGGTGCCACTGTACACTGGTGTTTTAGACATGATGCTATTACACACCTAATAGACTCCAGCACAATACCAACATAACTTTTATACACACTTGTACTGGGTAACCAGAAAATTCATGTGACTCACTCTGCTGCAAAACTTGCCTTTCTGGAACCAAACCAGCAACATCTCCTGTGTTTGTGTACAGAATGCCTATAATACAGGGCCACACAACAATGCAACAACACAGCAATCTGAAAGAATCTCACAGTTAACACCTTGATCTTGAAGGTGGATTTACACTTTTTGTAAAAATTCACACTGCCGACTTATGATTTGTATACTTTCCAGTGTGTATGCCACACTGTAGTAAAAAGTTCAGAAAGTAAAAGAGAATGAAAGGTTCCAAGTACCCAAGGCAGGGGTCAGGCATTTGAGCGAGGAGAATGCATTGAGACTTGAGTAAGCAGCAGCTGGAATCCCAGGAAGCACCCCTGGTGTCCCCAAGAAGACAGGTTCACTCACCCAATGGGCTAACTAAAAGAGAAGACGTCACAGAATGTTATGATGAAAAGGGGCCTTCAGAGAACAAAGAACCATAGGAAATGGAAAGAATCTCTTTTTCAACAAAAGGCTGATGGATAGCATTTGGGAAATCTCCTAGAAATAAACAAAAATAAGGTAGAAAATGAAAGAGAGAAGATAAAGGAACAATCTAGCAGGTCCAACATCCTATTAACACGAATTCTAAAATACATGAACACTTCTCAGAACATACATTTCTAGACTGGGAAGTCTCACTGAATGTCCAGCATATTTTTTTATAAGTCCACAAGCCAAACCTGAAAGGAAATCCCAAGACACTTTTAGACAGAAACATCAGATCACCTACATGTGATCAGATTCAAAATAGTGTCAGACTTACTATCAATCCTAGAAGTTATAAAAATAGCCCAACAACGTAATATCTTCAAATTTTTTGAATGAAAATTATTTCCTATGTAGAAGAAAATACTCAGCCAAATTACCAATGAAGTGTAAAGATGAAATCCGTTTTGCAAACACTTAAGGTCTCAAAGGTTTTACCTTTAAGATACCTTTGTAAGAAAGCTACTGAAATATGAACCTCCATGAAGAAAAAAAGATTTGGGTTCCAGAAAGAAAGGCTGTGACAGAGGAGAGAGGTTGAGAGAAATCCCTGGATGCTGCTAAAGGGAAATTCGAAGGGCAACGGCTTTGAAGAACTCAGACGTCAACCCAGCTGAGTGGAGGACCTCAGCAAGGGAATGAGAACAGCACAAAGAACAAAGACTCATCTGAGGAGTCTGATCACACTGAGAAAAACTTTACAAATACAGCTGAGTTTAAGGATCATTAGGGACATACACAGAAAAGTAGGCAAGAGGGAAAAATATGGCAACTACCAACTCCTGAAAAAACAAAACTGGGGAGAAAATTCAGGCTCAATACATGAGTAGGGGTAGTCATCATTCCTAAAATTTGTACAACTCAATAAAAATCATGACGTAGGCCTGGTACAATGGCTCACGCCTACAATCTTAGCATTTTGGAGGAGGCCAAGGTGGTCAGATTGCCTGAGCTCAGGAATTTGAGACCAGCCTTGGCAACATGGTGACACCCCATCTCTACTAAAATACAAAAAAGTTAGCAGGGCGTGGTGGCGCACATCTGCAATCTCAGCTACTGAGGAGGCTGTGGGACAAGAATCACTTGAACCTGGGAGACAGAGGTTACAGGATCATACCACTGTACTCCAGTGGTATGATAGAACAAGACTCTGTCTCAAAAAAAGAAAAGGTGCAAAAAAATTAGCCAGGTATGGTGGCATGCACCAGTAGTTCCAGCTACTCAGGAGGCTGAGATGGGAAGCTCACTTGAAGCCTGCACAGTTGAGGCTGCAGTGAGCCGTGATTATACCAATGCACTCCAACATGGGTGACAGAGTAAGACCCTATCTCAAAAAAAAAAAAAAATCCTGATGTATCTCTTTGGGATGGTAAGGCCAGATCTCCATCTCCCTTAATAAGTCACTTTTTTGTCTAAAACTCAAAATTTATGACATAATAAAACATGTTCTTATGCAGAAAAAGGGAAGAAAAAGCAGAATACTTAAAAGAGTCACTGCCTTTTGAAAGGGGAGAA